ATGTGTTGCGATTTCCTTCTTTCTTCCCTTCCCGATGATAGTTAACGAACACTGTTTGAGCTCTCGTGCAGTGGGAACCAATCTCCTCCAGGATAACGACAGCCAGGTTCAAATCAAAAGGAAGGAAAGTTACAGTCATTCAATGCTATGCGCCTACAAACGTCTCAGAACAAGAGAAGAAGGAGGCGTTCTACAGACAACTACAAACAATAATGGAAACGTCCCAAATGGCGATATCAAAATCCTGATGGGCGACATGAATGCGAAGCTGGGAGGAGACAACACAGGAAGAGAACTCACCATGGGTCGTGAGGCCCTCGGCGAAATGAACGACAATGGTGAACTCTTCTCAGACTTCTGCGCCTTCAATGATTTGGTGATTGGTGGTAGCGTTTTCAAACACAAGGATATACAAAAAACGACATGGATTTCACCAGATGGAAACACCAAAAACCAAATAGACTTCATTTCAATCGGAAGGAAGCGGAGACGGAGCCTACTGGACACAGGGTTCAAACCTATATCTGGTACAACGGAATTTCAAGGTGAAACTAAAAGCCTCGAGGATAGCTGGGGATAGGCCACAATGCAAGTTCAACACTCAATTACTGAAGGACACAACCACAAAGGACACTTTCACTGCAACTGTCAGAGCAAAGCAGGAAACACTACGCGACATCACTGAAGAATCATGCGTGGAAGAACACTGGAAGTCTCTGAAGGCGATTCTGAACGAAACGTGTTCAACGGTTCTAGGAAGAAAGAAGAGACAAGACAAGGAATGGCTCTCAACAGACACCTGGAAATTAATAGAAGAGAGGAGAATGGTGAAAGAGAAAATGATTCAATGCAAGGACGGACAGGAGAAGGAGACGATGAGTTCAACTTACACAGCACTGGACATAGAAGTGAAGAAGAGTGCTAGGAAGGACAAAAGACGATTCTACGACAACCTGGCCACTGAAGCTGAAAAGGCAGCAGGCAAAAAGGACCTGAGGACATTATATCAGATAACCAAATCTCTATCCGCGAAGAGATCAACACAAACGAAACCTATAAAAGACAGCCAAGGAAACCCAAATACCAAGAAAGAAAAACAGATTAAACAACAGGCGGATCACTTCAAAGGACTCTTAAACCGACCACCACCTGCTACCCGTCCAGAAATACCAACAACAGCGCGCACACAACTGCAAGTTGACACCAATCCTCCAACGAGAGCTGAAGTCCTGGATGCAATCAAGCTTTTGAAAGCTGGAAAAGCAGCTGGACCAGATGGAATACCCCCTGAAGCACTAAAAGCGGACCCAGAGACGACAGCAGATATGCTAACTCCATTATTGCAAAAGGTCCGGGAGGAGGGGAAGGTGCCTACTGACTGGAGGAAAGGTTATCTCGTGAAACTACCAAAGAAGGGCGACTAAGGACTCACTCTACAAGAACTGGCGAGGAATCATGCTCCTGTCGGCGCCAAGTAAAATCCCGAGTCGTATCATCTTGGAGAGAATAAAGGACGCACTGGGTGCAGAACTCCGACCAGAACAAGCTGGATTCAGGAAAAGCAAATCATGTTCTGACCTCATTGCAACTCTACGCATCATTGTCACAGAACAAAGCATGGGATGTCAATCAAACCTGTACCTCAACTTAACAGACTTTGAGAAGGCCGCGAAGTAATTTGGAAACTACTCGAGTACTAAGGCGTACCCCAAATATTCATCAACCTTATTCAACAGCTGTACGACAACGGCACATGTCAAGTGATCCACAACGGAACACTCAGCGAGGCGTTTGGAGTAAACACAGGAGTAAGACAAGGATGCTTATTATCCCCAATGATATTCCTAATTGTGATGGACTGGTTTATGCGTGAGACAGCGAGTGGAAAACGAGAAGACAGGGATATCTTGGACTGACGTGAAGAACCTATAAGACCTGGATTTCGCGCGTGGATGATTTATGTTTGATGTCACACAAAATCGAAGACTTACAAGCGAAAACCGACAAACTGGTCGAAGAAGCAGCAAAGACAGGACTCCAAGTGAACACAGACAAGACGGAGGTGATGAAAATAACCAGCCAACAACAACAGCAGCAGCAACATCCAGCGCCAATCACCATCAACGGGAGGGATTTGAAAGAGGTCACTTCATTCCCTTATCTAGGGAGCATTGTCTCAAATACATGAGGAACGGACGAGGATGTCAAATCGAGTGAGAATCAGGAAGGCGAGAAATACATTCATCAACCTGAAATCAATCTGGAAATCTTCGTCACTCAGCATCACCAACAAAATCCGGATTTTCAATACAAACGTAAAGTCAGTTCTTCTATACCGATCAGAAACTTGTTGGGCGGGTCACAAAGAATATTTCCAGCAGCCTGTTGCAGACCTTTATTAACAACTATCTTCGCTCTATACTGAAGATCAGATGGCCGGGCCGGAAAGAATCACCAACAAGGAACTATGGGAACAAACAAAACAAGAACCAATCGCTCAACAAATATACAGGAGAAAGTGGAGATGGGTCGGACACTCGCTGAGGACACCGCTGGGTGACATCGCGCGTCAAGCCCTCGAGTGGAACCCGGAAGAGAAGAGGGGAGTGGGACGTCAGTGCAAGGGTGACATGGAGGAGATCGTGTGAAGAGGAGATGAAACAGTATGGACTAGCATGGATGCAGGTGAAAAGTACATCAGAAGACACAAGCAAGTGGAGACGTGCAGTTAAAGCCCTATGTTCCACTAGGAACCCAAGGGAGCAATAATAATAATATGAACCAACCAACTCTGTCAGATATAAACTTTGTCGGCTTAAGCACCTAATAGACATATGATATAATTTATCAAATACAATATAATGACTGTGAAGTCAGTTACATAGGTCAAACAGGTAGATCGGGGCAACTAGATTATTGGGACGTAAAAATTAGATAGACCTAGAATAATAGACCCTGCTTAGTCAAAAAACCCAGAAAAGAGCTCACCCACTGCACTGTATTCACTCATATGTAATCACAAAATAGTCTTGGTGGGACAGGGTGAGAGTATTAAAAAGTAACATAGTTGGGTGGAAAGAAAGGTTAATCACTGAAGCTTTGTATATCGACTCAACACTGCACACGTGCAATCGGGACGACGCAACACCGATAGCAGCGATTTGGAAAGTGGAAACAAACAACAAAGGAAAGTTGGAGAGACAGAATATATATATATGACACATTGTGAAACCGGTTGACTAAAATTGATATGATTATGAGCAATAATTTATGTTCATAACATCATCCAGTTGTTGAGACTGAATCACTGTGTATTCTTTATGATAAATTTATCTAATATGGAATTACATTCTACTACGGTGCTCAAGTTCTACACTTACATTTAGGAAAAAAGAGCTGCCTCGGTCCTCGAATTCGGAACGAAGTTTACTCTGACATCTCTAACCAGTTGCTTTTAATCATGAACATATGATGATTTTTGTCAGTCGAAAGCATTACATTTCTATATTCAATGTAGGATAATAACTTTAAACACTAAAATCATTTGTCGGAGTAATCGCTGATAAAGTAGTGTTAGCAAAACATCAATGTTAACTGAAATGAGACTAAGAAGTGAGATTTTTCTAATTCAAAACAAATTATAGTATATGATGAGTGTGTCCAAATGACGGCAACATAAATCTATCCTTTTTTTAAAATTCGTTTTCAAAAATTAATTTGTTTTCTAAATACATGAATCAAGTTTTTTACTAAAATATTATATATATATATATATATATATATATATATATATATATATATATATATATATATATATATATATATATATAAATTAACTCGAATAATATCATCCACCAGTTACATAATGAAACCTCACTATATTTCTCTATAAATGTAGCAAGTATTGGCTGACACAATATCATAAAGTAAAATTTGATAGTAAGTGTAAACAATTTATATGTCATATGAATCTAAACTACTTTATAATTCATCAGACATAATAACATTAATAATCATGTTTGCAACACTTTAAGACTTTTTTCATAGTATCTGATGTATGTAGGCAAACAAAGTTGTAACATCTACCTACTACATCATCTGGGTCTAGATTTTTATGTAGTATTTGTGAAATAATTAACACAAGATGAGGAATTTGTTATAATCGTTGGGTGTTTTGTAACAACTGTAAGTGTATGCCTAATGTTATTATTTATTGCTTAATTAATTCAATCCTTTTGGAAATAATTCTCATGATAATACTGGAAAGCCAGATTATTTGAGTAGTCATTTCCACTGCCTCCATTCACCAGCAGTGGTTAGTTTGAGCGTGATAGTTTGAGCCAATTAAAAGGAAGACCAGTAAATGGCAACGTACTGCTGAAGTCTGATGTTCTACTCGGAATACTAGGAATAATAATTACTATTTGTAAAATAAAATATTATTAGGCTCATTCATAAAAAGGGATTTCGGTTCAGACAACTCGGTAATTTTATTTCTTTTTCAACGAAAATATAACTAAAAAATGCATTTTTAAATAGGTGAATAAGGGATAGTGAATACTAGTAGCTGCTTACATTTTGGTTTTTTTTGGTTTCGTCATATATGAAAGTTTGCACTGATATACTTTAATAATTGAAATCGTGTCTGTTTACCAAGTTTTCATCATTATAGGATAGAATATTTTGAGGATTGAAGAAATCGTTTACTTTTATTTAAAGAGGTTACATTATGTATGTTGACAATAACCTGAAAAGCTTTATTTGCCAATAGTGCATAAATGAGCATATCAGATCACATCAGTGTGGTTATTGTAGACGTTTGTTCAAAAAACGGAGGCATTATGCCCTCAATAATTTATAAATTAGGATGTAAGAGTTTAAATCCAAACAAGTATTTCAAAGCAAATCAATATGAAAAAACGATACATTTTGTGGCAAATTTATTGATAAAACAAATATTTGAACTTTCTTTAAAGAAAAAGCAAATAAACAGAACTTACTCGCTCGACGCATCGTACAAGTGGTACTCGTACTGTTTGATTTCCGTCTAAACTTATAACACAAGCTGGTAGTTCACGATTACGATCAGCATCCATAAGAGCTAAAACAGCTTCAGCGCCCATACGACTGCCTAGAATACGATCAAAAGCTGATGGCGAACCACCACGTTGTACATGTCCCAGTACTGTAATACGTGTATCGAATTGAAGTTCTTTAACGATTAAATTTTTAACATCTTCACAGATGATGGGTTTACAGTCTTTATCGATAGCGCCTTCAGCAACCATGATTATGTTTACACGTTGTCCGAATTGACGATTCTAAAAATTTTGCACAAACATGGAATGTCACGAAGAATTCAGTAGTATATATATGTATATATAACCGTTTTTGGTGTGATTTTCAGACAGGTAACCTCTGCTCAATGATTCCGTGTTTAAGGTGACTGTTTTACTATCTGTAAATGTAAATACCATGGTTATACAAAAAATCGTCGCTAAGACTTTAATTATCATTTGTAAAATTATGAAAAGTTAGAGAAGGGCTTCGCCATTGGAATAGTTGTTAAGCAAAACACGCAACATGGATTACATTGATGACACAATTAGACCTGAGATAGTAATCATTATAATAAATATCATATACCCAATGCCCAAATTTTTTTCAAACCGTTAAAAGTGAACTTGGTTTGGACATATATAACTGAGATAGTAATAGTTACAGATGTTATTATCAACCAGCTAAAGTTGAGAGATTAACTATTTTGGGTATCAATAAAATATTACAGTATCAAGGGCAAGAAGGATTAGTGCACAAGTCACATATTGAATGAATAATGACGCAACTTTACTTACTTTTCAGCCATTTATTGATTTTCCATGTTGTTTTACTGTACCAAAGGGATATATTTGGTCTCTTTTGATATATCGGCTAATAGTACAGAAGTTTTTATAATGCTTTAGGTTATAGTTTAATGTTATTTGACCAGTGACGGCCAACGGTAAAATTCACAAAGTACATTTTGTCCTATTTTGGATTTGTTGGTAATACGTAATCTAAATCTCAAGCGTTAGTGGCACAATTTCATACCATGATACTTTCGGCTAACGAACAGAACGAGACCAGATTCTCGGAATCCCTTACTAACCACCACTGGTCAGTTCACAATATCACTACACGACTGTCAAGACCCTCAAAGGACTGTGAAATTTTTCAATTATTTTGTAGACTTGTTTTATTCCTTTACGTTCCGAGTGAAACATTGGGCTTCAGGCTAGAGCTCTGAAGTTTCAGTAGCAGTGGTTTTATTTTTACGGGATGATGTTGCTAGCCTCACATCCAACCTTCCCTGTTTACCAGTCTTACTACCGATTTAGTGAGCTTGAGGAGTGCGTCGGCCGAGGATCGATCTCCAAACCACGTGAGGTGTTGTTGGCCAGCGTTCTACCTCCTAACCGCCGACACTAACTAATGAACATTTATTAACGTTCGGCAACATAACATTTACTTGATAGCAAACACTAAGGCCTCATACGTACTTCTATTCTAACTTCAAATGATAACTGATCTTTAAAATCACTTCCGAAATATATTGATGACCTTGAGTAATCAACCATCTCAAATAAATGAATGCATGGGTTTGATTTTAATTAGCTTCATAAGTTAAATAAGTACATATTAATTAGTGAAATCCATGCTGTAGATATTATAACATTAGCATTCCAACTAAAAGTATTGATAACGCTCAAAATACATCGATAAAAATAAAATAAATCACTAACTATCCCCTTCCACAATCTCTCCAATGGAAAGGGTTTTCACTTCATTACTCCAGAGTCATGGTAGGGAATGTTAATTTCAGTTGAAGAATAACTTAATCGACACTTTAAGTTTACACTAAGCACTAAAACACTTGTTCGACCATTATGCAACAGTTCTTATTATCGAAATGCTTTTTGTATTTTTCAATGGATATAGTGATGTGGCACCCATTCAAAAAGGAAAAAACTCAAAAAATTGCCAAGGTTATTTTTTCATTTCTTGCTTTCCGGATGGAATATAAGGCTTCAGGCATCGCAATCTCAGAGGTGGTGTTACTGTTTTACAGAGTAAGGCTACAAGCCTTATACGCGACCTTCCACATTTTTCGGGCTTAATATTGCCAAGTAAACTAAATGGATTTCATGAGTATGTCCGTCATCCCGAAATTAAACGTGGCCATCCAGCATTGCTGGCCTGCATTCGACCATTGGACAACTGGAACACACTAACAGTACACCGTGACTAACAGTCTCTTAACTCGATGAGAGTTCTTCTGCCGTATGAACTAATTTTGAGTTGTTAAAAAAAGTCAATGAAATGATAAAGATTGTTGAATTTGATAAGTATATTTTTTGTGGTAATATTATTGCATAGTATTAAGGAATATCAACCTAAGATAAAATCTGTTCGATAAAATCTATTTTAGACTTGCTTGACATAAAGTGAAATGATAGTAAAACTGCTCTGAACAGACACTGAATATATTAAAATCAGTTATATAATCCCTTTAAAAAGAATTTACTTCATTAATAATAATATTTACCTACCATTCGTAATTTGCGACACAACTTTTCACGCCAATCATCAGCTGGTGGCATTTCGGGTATAAATACCCAATCAGCTTCACATGCCATTGATGCAACTAGTGCTAAGTAACCACAATGTCTTCCCATTACTTCTAAAATGAAACATCTTTGATGGGAACTAGCTGTGGTACAGATAGCATCGGTTGCTTCAATAATTCTATGAAGTGCAGAATCTGCACCAATTGTCATATCTGTACCACAGAAGTCATTATCAATACTACCAACTAAACCAACAATATTTAAATGACCAAATCGTTCAGCGTTTTCAGAAGAAATCTGATCTGTTAAAATATTAAAGAATATCATCGATATTTATGAAAAGGTAAATAAAAAATAGTAAAATTGACTTACTGAAAATTGGTTAGGATTTAGGTGGAAAAATCATTACTTTTAAGGTAATATTAATCATGGATATATATATATATATATATATATATATATATATATATATATATATATATATATTGCATAAGAAGTTCGGAACTAAGACGAAATATTCATACACAGTCTCTCTAGTTAACTGACAGTTTCAACTATTTGGCCATAATCTTATATATTTAAAAAAAATTCATTATAGCTTCATTCCACACAGTATTTTGGTACAAGTATGGAATTTTCAGCATGTGATATCGCTAGCCCAAATTTAGCAGGCCGACCATTGATATCAGGTAAGCGTCGGCCGGTAAGCAGCCTAACTACTGTGCTACCAATGCAGTTTTCAAAACTTGTTTTTTATATACAATACATACATATGGGTTTTAGTATACGGAAGAATGAGCAGTAGCTCACTAGTTTGATGAAAGACGTTAACTTCTAGGACAAGGGTAATAATATTAGATGAAAGATAGAACCAGTCAGATTTTGACATATTACTTGAATGTACGATAATTGAGTTCCGATTACTCATTAGCTTAAAAGTGCATTGCTCATATCCTTATTTTGACATGCCAGTTGGGTGCAGCGATACTGTTCTGTTCTAATTCATTCATTTTATGTTACACAATGATGCAACAATAATGGATGATACTTTTAGCACAGCATATGTTCTTTATAACCACATCGTGGAAACTGACCTAATTAACTGACCAATGAAAAGTATTTAAAACACGGTGGTGCTAGAGATTTCGGAAACAACACAAACAATAAAAATACAAGCAAAAGCCACGATAGCAATAAAGAATGAATCTATGTAAAAACAGTCCAATCTGGTATGAGCAAACTAAAAACGAATCTGTCAAGGAGGAAAAGCTGTTCTTTTTTCGAAAGACCACTTTCAGGATAGTTCCATTTACGAAAACCTCGTAGCATCTAAGATAATAAATACTGCAGGTCAATTAATAATGAATAGTCATTACACTTTAACTCGATACCGTTTAGTCAAATGAAACTAATAATCTTGATAGAATTAAACGTAAAACTTCTCAGAATTATGATTAACAATTAATGGAAATTTTGAAGTCCGTCCAGGTTATATGCAAAACTGAACAGTTTAAAGACTAACATTAAAATATTTAACTGAAACCTACTTGATTTAACCAGTTCTTCTAGAAGACCTGACCATTCTTTACGAAACAAATCAGCGCCAGTTAGGGAACCATCACCGCCAATAACAACTAGGTTTGTGATTTCATTCTTAACTAAGTTTAAAGCAGCCTTCAAACGCCCTTCCCGATTCCGAAAATCCATGCATCGAGCCGATCCAATAACAGTGCCACCCTACACATTAAAAATTTTTGAAAACGTTGCATTCGATTTATATTCTGGTTTTAAAACGAATTCCACAATTTTTGTGTCAACCAATTAAAGTTAGCATGAAAAAAGTATTTAAAACTATACGGAGACTGGTGAAACAGCAGAGATACGAATTCACTAGAAGTGATTTTCAATCCACATTATTCCCGTAAATAACAGACCTTTTGCCCTCCGTAAGCATTACACAGCGATACCCTGTGTGCCCCTGAAATTATAAGGATAACTAATCTGTAAAATGCCTACATCGACTCAGCAATAATACTCAGCTCACTGATCGGTCTACTGAAAAACCCCATTAGTGATTGAATTAAGTTTTTATCAAAATTAAATAACCTTATAGAGAAAACAGATATGAAACAACCTTATTTATTATGTTATTTAGTGGATGGTAGAATCTAGGTCACGCATTCCTTCTTCTTTGGGACTCTTCAGCTGGGTGTACTTGGAATCTCGAATGGTATTACCACTGAGACTCCAACCCATACCTCATCATTTCGAAAGCCAAAGTCTTATCCACTAGACCACTTTGGCTAGGGGGAATGCAGGTGCATCCAGGTGAAGAGTCACAAGTATGATGAATTGTGCACCCTGGATTTTACTGCTAGTCACCATCCAACGAATAACCTTATGTTAATCCTCAGACATTGTCGAAGAGTCCATGCTGGGAACCGACATGTCAACAGAGACCGAATATTTCCAACCATCCAACGAGAAAAATATAACTGAATTAAAGAAACAGTAGCTTTATTCATTCTTGATTCTAAATAGCGAGAGCTGGTAATCCGTAGATAAATTATGTACACAACAGGGTAATTTTTCAATCATGTATTATAGGTCAATTTATTCCAGGTATTAAATAAGTATTATTGTTGAAAAATATTTCTGCTGATTAAACAGTGCTGTATTATTTTTGATAAATCCAATCAGTCAAAGGAGAAAACATATACGTTGTATACCTTTTTTCAACATACTACGGAATCAAGCAACATAAATTTATTCAAAGTAGTGAGCATGCTTTGATAATTAGCATAAGAATCCAGACAATCAACTTTCAGAAATAAAACACTGAAAAAGACACCAACAACTATTAACAAACAGTATAAAGTAAATAGTAAAAATAAAGAAATTTTCTTTCTAAGATGCTGGATTCAAATATCAATAGACAAAAAATTCATTCCTATTGTAAATTATAAATATATCCATTTTCTTGAAATGGGGTGCATATAATTTCTCCGCAGTGCTTTCTAAAATTACTTCGGATATTAATGACTCAATACAGTCCTCAATTAAGTTAACTTTTTGTATTCACTTCAGCAAGTTTGATAGAGTGACGGACAAACGCACACAGTTACTTCAGTGTCGAGAGGTCCTTGCACTGATGAGCATTCTCTACGATATCTAATTTCGGCTTATTATGTTTATTTAGTGTAGTATACAAGGCGTTAAATAGCTCAATAAAGTGTACGGTGTGAAGTGATGCTTAGAAATGAGGTCTATCACTAATATAAACTTCATAGATTAAACCGATTTACGCATAGCATTCAAGTAAACTTCATTGAAAATTATGCCACCTAACAGTTTAAGTAATTTTTCAACTTAAAGATGATGCATTTCATAGGTTGTGCTTGAACAGTAATGACATTTGTGTTCATTTAGCAATATTTCGGAAACAGATCTGTAAAGGTAGTTCCACCCACTAACGAAAAATGATTTTAAATGGGACTTGTATATGTTGAGATCAGATTTTTCGTCTTCTTAACCGAGGTGTAACCAAAGTTCATTCTAAAATATTCCTACGTTAAGATTTCCATGATTTTCCTCCTTTGTCATTTATGTTAGAAAATACTCCAGTACCATTCTGTAGGTTTTCGTGGTTTTTGTAATTGCATACATGCCGTATTTGAAGAATGGTAGAAAAGCTTCTGTAGGCAGATTAAGATAGAATCTGGGACAGGAAAACACCAATACAACTCAATAGTTTAGTTTATAGATGAAACTAAGAGAGACAGAATAATATCCCAATGTACAAAAATTGAAACTAATTGTTTCAATTGCATTAAGTATTTGTTTATTGACAAATGAATAAAAATGCTACTGGATAGACTTACAGCTTGAAGTATTCCAGATACATCAGCCCATGATGCCTCTACAATATTTGAACCACCATCCACAAGACCTTGATATCCTTCTTTAATGAAAAAAACACGACATCCACAATATATTCCCATGCGTACAACAGCACGTACAGCTGCATTCATTCCTTGAGCATCTCCACCACTTGTTAGTACAGCTATACACTTTCCAGAAAATTGACCTCTAGCCACATATTTGCCCTCCATACCAGGCAATAATTCTGTTGACCGACGTTCAAACCTATAAAAATAATATTTAGTGGAATACGCAATAATAATTTGTTGTACAATTCATCAGATGCAGAGGTTCTTAGAAAAGATTCTGCCAAATGACTCAAACGATAGCTCATGTTAGCCAGGAAGGGTTTTATATGCCATTAATTTAAAATAAATGACATCAATCAATAGAATTAATCAATGCTGTTTAATAAAGAATTAAAAGTGTTAAACACACTACCTCAATTTAAGTTATACTGGTGTATTTACTATATGTACAACTTCAAAAGTGATGGTTAACATTTTAACTGCAAAGTATGTCGTAACAGTTTTATAATAAATTACCTTTTCATCATATGGAGACGTAAGGATATCATAACATAAAATGCTTTCATACTAATCTGTCTGTCTGGATTCAACATAGAACTTGGCACCGAAGTGCAGCAGTTCGAGTTGCCACGTTCCAAATACCACACACACAGGTAGACAAGAAGATGACTGAAGAGAATCAATAGAGTATGACAAGTATACGAGTGAAACAGAATGGGTAATGGTAGAAAGGAATATGAAAGATTACAGAGACTGAATACATCTGCGCCATTGACAACGATTTTGAGCCATGTCACCTATTGTCTCCAGCCATTGATTCCTAGAGTCCCGAGGGCCCCAACCCGGAGGTCTGCATCTCCCTACCTGACTCAGTTTAACTGTCAAGGATTTCATGGATTGATGAGGCCATGTTTTTGTTTGGCCACCACTGGCTCTTTTCCAACCTACACCTATATCAGCTAGTAATGCCCGTCGGGGGAGGCGATGGTTAGGCATGCGCAGCACGTGACCTAGCCATCTCAGTCTATGTAACTTTATAGCCTCGTCGATTGATTTTCCCTCTTTACCCAACACTCTACGCCTAACGTCAACATTACTTACCTTGTGAAACCACCTAACGTGAGACAGAGATCGCAGACATCTATGATCGAAAGCAGTCAACCTTTTCATGTCTTCAACTCGTATTGGCCATGTTTCAGAGCCATAGAGAAGGACGGAGCGAACTGCTGAGCAGTACACACGTCCCTTGGTTGATGGCCGGATGTCACGCCTACGCCAGAGATGGTGTAAGTCAGCGAAAGCAGCTCGAGCTTTTCGGATCCGTGCTGAGATTTCATCGCCAATCAGTCCGTTGGTGCTAATACAACTTCCCAAATAGGTGAAGTGGTCAACATGTTCTATCACTTCACTCCCTATCACTAAGCTAGGAGTTGACGTGGTCCAGTCCTGTAGCAGCATCTTACATTTTGCAGGGGCGAATCGCATGCCAAACATACGAAGATTGCTGCTCAAGGTGTTCAGAAGACTCTGCATTTTGTCAGCATCCTCCTCTAACAGGACTATGTCATCTGCATATTCTAAGTCCATAAGACTATTCCCTGGTAACAAGTCGATTCCTAAGTCACTACGTTCAGTTAAGGATACTTCCATCAGGATATCTATGATGAAGTTAAACAGAAATGGGGAAAGTGGACATCCCTGTCGGACACCACTGGTTGTTACCAATTCAGATGACAATTCCCCATAAGCCCTTACACGACTCCGTGAGTTTGAATAGAGTGCCTTGATTAGTGCAATATACTTTCTTGGCACTCCCTTCACAGTCAAACATCGCCATAGTACCTTTCGATCCACGGAGTCGAAGGCCGCCTTCAAGTCAAGAAATATGACAATTGTTGGACGCCGAAAAGTGTGTCTATGTTCTAGAATCTGTCGAAGAGTAAAGATATGATCTATGCACCCTCTACCTGGTCTAAAGCCTGCTTGATTTTCCCTCGTCTGTTCCTCCCGAGTTCTGCTTAGTCTGTGCATGATTACTGAGCCTAGGATTTTAGAGACTATGTTCGTTAGGCTGATCTCCCTATGATTATCACACGAGGACTTGTTTCCCTTCTTGAATATCGGTATAATAAGTGACTTACCCCAGTCTGATGGCACTGTCTCTGATTCCCAGACTTTGCCTAGCACCTCAGTTAATCTACAAACTAGTATGTCACCCCCATATTTAAACACCTCATACTAATAAGTTATAATTATATTTTAATTGTTTACACAAAATGATGCGTTTTTGTTTTTTGATAACATTTCGAGCAACACTATAATTGGTTGTGATCACATTAACTGTTGGAATTGTTCTTTTACTACTATTTCAACTAATAACGTTTACCAATTCATTAGTAAATCCGGGCAGATACAATATTGGTTAGACTAGTTGAACTTTCGATTACATTTCGTTATGAATAAAGATTACTCGACGATAGAATAACAATGAGTGAATATTATTATCTACTTATATTTACTCTACATACTGACTGAGTTTCAACCTAAAACCATGCATAGAAGAGCAGCAGTTCAAGTTGTCTCACTCCATACAATACATAAAGGTAGGGAAAAAGAAATTCAAAGGAACTATAATGAACAGAGATGTACGGTACGAGGAACAATTCCATGGAAAAACATGAGAATTTAATGAAATTGGGAGATCACAAAGAGTAAATGCATCTACGCAACTGGCAACGACTCTGAGTTATATCACCAACAGTCTCTAGCCATTGTTTTCCACGTAGCATATTTTCCTGTGGATTGAAATTATACTTGCTTACTTGAAGCTTGTCAATAAGCATTCTTTAGAAAAACAGCTTTTTCACATCTTTCTCTGGAGCTGGTTACATCGGATGTTGTAATCATGTTCCCCAGAAACGCGTAACTGAACACTACTCGGTGTAGTTGATGAAAAGACAGCATAGAATGACGAATGTCTCCAATCTGTGAGCACCTTCCTGAGTCAAGTCATTCCGCCTCAAGCGATTCATCCTTTGAATTTATCTAAATGGTGAAACCTAGTCACCCTAAAAGTTTATGTCCCCTCCCACACTTTATACAGCTGAAGCTCTAGGTATACACGGACAAGAAACTAAACTGTGTAACTAAAAGGGTTTTCTTAAACCCATTTCTATACTGTAGTCATAGCAATTTCATTTTATTGCTTGGATTTGTTCCAGTTCACTTCATTTTGGCACTTTTAATTTTTTGACGACATTCAGCCTACTTTTAAAATCCTAATGTCAATTCACTCATTTGATAATTTTTTAAGCTTTTGCAACTTATCAACTTCAACTGTATCCCCTAAGAAGTTATATTTTAATGGACTTTATTCGCATTAATGTGTAGATTAACTATTGAGCGATCTTGGTGCCAATTAATGCCTGTTTGCGTAAAAATTGAAAATGAAGTCGCTGAATGGAGAAAGATTTCTTCGCTGATCTAAGATTGTTTTCCCTTACAACTAGAATTAACGACAACCTGTTTATTTATATATTGTTTATTTATTTTAATTAGCTCCAGAGACAACGGAAAACAGTCATATACAAGAGTTTAAAATATAACTAAATAAAATAATTTTCTATATTTGATTTGCAAGGGTTAGTTTTGTTTTTACAAGTTGATCAAGGTTTTCAATGGTTCGCTAACTGATATCAATCCATGATAAACTCGTAAATAAAATAAGGGAAAGAACAATAAAACTCCTTAACTAAATAGCATTATGTTATACAGTGGAATGAATTAGAGTCTAAACCAAAAAGGAAGAAATTGTTTAGCTAAAGCACACGAAAGTAAGCACATGTGTAAAAAATAGTAAAATTGAAAAAGCTAGGGATACCAGTCTATTTTAAACACTTTATTTTTGTTAAACGATATGATAAACATTATAAGTAAGACAAAATGAATTTTAGAATAAAAGAGCTTGGAGGTCAGTAGATCACACTCTATTTGTGTTTAAAACTACTGAGTAGGGAAATTAAACATTAGGTCACAGTATTGATACTGGGGTGCGTCGGTGGCACAGCGGTTAGGACGCTCGCCGACCATGCTAATGCTCCGGGGTTCGATCCCCGGGCCAACGCACTCCTTTACCTCACTAAGCCAGAAATAATGTTGGTAAAGAGGAAAGGTTGGGCATGAGGCTAGCAACCTCATCCTGTAAAAATAAAAACTGCTACAGAAACTTCAAGCCGCTAGCTTGAGGCTCTATGTTCCACTGGGAACGGGAAGGAAAACAAAATTGATACTGGGGAGCGGGTAGGCAGGAATACACTGCGCTGACCGATAAGAAGACTGAATTTCGCGCGTGAATGATTTATGTTTAGTGTCACACAAACTCGAAGACTTGCGAGTGAAAATCAACAAACTGGTTGAAGAAGCAGTCAGCGAAGACAGGACTCCAGGTGAACATAGAGAAGGCGGAGTTGATGAAGATAACCAACCAACCAACCAACCGACCAACAACAACAACAACCAGTGGCAACCACCATCAACGGAAGAAACTTGGAAGAGATTACTTCCTTCACTTATCTAGGAAGCGTCGTTTCAACCACAGGCAGGCGGAACAGATGAAGTGTTAAAGCCATACAGAATTGGAAAGGCAAGTTACGCCTTCATCAATCTGAAATCAGTCTGGAAATTTTCTGCACTCAGCTTGAAGAGCACAAATTGGAGTTGTGCTGTTGAAACCCTATGTTCCAAACAGAACGCAGTGGAACAATAACAAATAATTATAAAATACTGGTGACCAACTCACATATGCAATCCCATTTTATGCAATACAACTATGAATGATAACATTTTAAGGGTATCATTGTATTCTGACCTAATTGTAAAGTAATTTATCACACTTTCTACACACTGTTATTACTCAGCTTTAGATTATGATCTGACAAAATTGGATTGCTTTAACATACATACCACAATTTTAACTGCTCCCGTCACTACACGTGGATGTGATTTTTCAATAAACATTTGCTTACCAGTTATTAGTGGATTTATATAATTGACTTTTATTTAAGGTTAAAAGAATATTCTTATATCCATGATAAAATCGATTTATTGCCATGTGACCGTGGAGTTTAGGGCACAAAATGTCCCAAACTAGGCTGTTGAAACAGCTGTTTAGTACTCCCAGGTTTTCCAGTGGCTCTC